TGAAAGGCGAGGAAGGAGGGGGAGGGGAACGACTAGAAAGCCAGGAGGGTAGAGGGAGAAGAAACCCCGTCCCCTGCCCCCCTCCCCTACAGAAAACCTGCAGGCATACAATTTATATCAAATCTACTCATCGAATCCAAATAGAAAATCAATAATATCAAGAGCATATAAAGAAGGCTTCTTTATATGCTCTTGATAATATCCGTATCTACATCTGCAATCCGTACATCTCGCGTCACTTGACCACAATCGATTAACTAAGTTGATGTCTCGTTCACTAATTAGCCAAAAGATTTTATATACCTTGATTTAATCCATACGAAATGTATCAGTATAATCCAAATAGAAAATCAATGTTAACCCTATCTATATGATCTGGTAGGTGCAATATCCATATATCTGCAATCTGCAATCTGAATATCTTACGTCCAGCACTTGCTCACAATCTATCAACGAATAATAATTATGTAATAGTTATGAAGTTAATGTTCACTAGTTAACCTTAGTTATACCTTGAATGAATCCATCTCAAATCTATCCATGGTGAGAGAGAAACTCATACGATCACTACGAGTCCACACGTTCTCACTGTCTCTTGGTTTGAGCCACGACAATTTCCAACGACGTGTTTGTCCGTATCCCACTGCCGACGCACGTTATACGAGACACATGTTAATTGTCATCTCTTGATTAAATCCGTGCCAATACCATCCACGCGTAACATCAAACGAACCCCACATACTGCGCATAGTTTTTTTTTAGCTGTCTATTCATACAATCCATGCCCAAATATAAACGTATAATAAACTCAGGCGAATGCGTATCACACGTTATACTTGCAGCTCTCGCACGAGAGCGTTTTGTTTCAATATGGTGGTAGGCGAGACGGGGTCATGCGGGGTCACGCTCGCAAGTGAAATGAAGTCCGTCATGTGCGTGCTGTACTTTATAGCGGCATGACGCGAAATTATACATTCAAACCATTTTCGGGCTATCCGACTATAGGAAAACATGGTAACCTTCGGCGACCGCCTGCGTGTTTGCGAATTGCAGAGCGCCATCTTTTTCGTACGGCCGACGGCGATCGATATGCACATAATATCATAATATATAAATATATACATATCCAATTTCTTAAATGATGTCTGCTGATAGAATATTATCATAGAAATCTATGCTTAGATAACCCCTCCTCATTTTAAATTCATAATTTTGGCAAAATAATATTCTTCTTGTGAGATATTGCGCATGCGCGAGCACCGTTTCAGACGTGCAGTACGACCTAAATAAAAGTACGTAATGTAGATTACTGCGAGCGAGAGGGGTGGGAGACTGAGGGAAGGTGACAGGGAAGATAGCTGGGGGCGGTAGAAGAAGAAGGAGGCTGAGCGAGGGACAGGGGAGGCAAGGGGAAGGACGAGAGAGCATAAAGTAGGTGTTTTGTATCCTACATGCTGGGGCACTCTCCTAATTATAAAAACATGTCTACCCGTCCCCTTGTCTCACTTGTCGCACGCTCAGCCTACTTCTTCTTCCACCGCACCTCGGCTGTCTTCTCTGCCACCTTCCCTCAGTCTCCCACTCTTCTCCCCCGCAGCAAGCTATATTACGTACTTTTATTTAGGCCGTACTTCTCACGTGCTCGCGCATGCGCAATATTTCCCGAGAAAAAGAATATTTTGCCAACATTATGAATGAAGAGGGGTTATCCCAGCATAGATTTCTACAACAATATTGCAGCATTAGACCTAACTTATGAAATAGGAAGCAGACATGGCATGTAAAGTCCCGGCTGCATATACCAGTCAGTACAAAATCTGGCTACGTTACTGTTTTAGCGCATGCGGAATATCTCACGAGAGGAGTTATATTTTGTGCTGAAAATGCATTTAATATGGTCAGGGGGTATCTCAGCATAGGTTTCAGTATTAAATTATTATCAGTAGACCTGTGTTTATAATTAGGAGAGCGCTCTAGTCAATAGGGTGCAAAACTAATACTTTATCCCCCCCCCGCCCGTCCTCTTTTCTCCCTTGTCACACGCTCAGCCTACTTCTTCTTCCACCGCCCCCTCGGCTGTCGTCCCTCAGTCCCTGCCACCTTTTCTGAGTCTCCAACACCTCTCTCCCGCAGCAAGCTATATTACGTACTTTTATTTAGGCCGTACTTCACGTCTGAAACGGTGCTCGCGCATGTGATTAAATATGGTAAGGGGGTATCTCAGCATACGTTTCTGTAATAAATTCTTATCAGTAGACCTGTGTTTATAATTAGAAGAGCGCCCTAGCCAATAGGGTGCAAAACTAATATTTCATCCCCGTCCGCCCGTCCCCTTGTCTCACTTGTCGCACGCTCAGCCTATTTCTTCTTCCACCGCCCCCCGGCTGTCGTCCCTCAGTCCCTGCCACCTTCCCTCAGTCTCCCACTCCTTTCTCCCGCAGCAAGCTATATTACGTACTTTTATTTAGGCCGTACTTCTCACGTCTGAAACGGTGCTCGCGCATGCGCAATATCTCCCAAGAAGAAGAATATTTTTTTTAAATTATGAATTTAAAATGAAGAGGGATTATCCCAGCATAGATTTCTATGACAATATTCAATCATTAGACCTCACTTATGAAATAGGAAGCAGACATTGCATGTAAGGTCTCGGCTGCATATACCAGTCAGTACAAAATCTGGCTACGTTACTGTTTTAGCGCATGCGGAATGTCTTTCGAAAGGAGTTATATTTTGTGCTGAAAATGCATTTAATATGGTCAGGGGGTATCTCAGCATAGGTTTCTGTAATAAATTCTTATCAGTAGAACTGTGTTTATAATTAGGAGAGCGCCCTAGCCAATAGGGTGAAAAACTAATACTTCATCCCCACCCGCCCGTCCTCTTTTCTCCTTTGTCGCACGCTCAGCCTCCTTCTTTTTCCACCGCCCCTCGGCTGTCTTCACTGCCACCTTTCGTTGGTCTCCCACCCCTCTCTCCCGCAGCAAGCTATATTACGTACTTTAATTTAGAGTTTAAAAATAGGAAACGGATCAGAAACCCATTTCCTATTTTCATTAAAAAAATAGGAAATAGTTCAGAAACCCATTTCCTATTTGCAACGTCAAATGGGAAAACAAACTAACGGTATGTACCGTGATTCAATCCTCTTAAGCGCAGTTTTTTTACATTTAAGGCGAGGCAAGCTATTCATCTCTGAAATACTGACAACTAACTTGCGGCCAAAAAAACTCACTATTTCTCAGATCAGAGAAAGAAGAAAAAATTCTTACGCGCAGTTTTTGACAACCATAGGGCGAAACGTGCCTTCGTCTTTACCAGCTTTCTTACGCTACACTAAACTACGACATACCTTCTCTTGATGACGACGCACGGCAAAACGTAAACAAGCAGCCAACAGCAGAAGACCCCAGCGTTCGACTGAGAACGAGAGAGAGAGAGAGAGAGAGAGAACCCTGGAGAAAGCAGTGCGCCCTCACCAACATAGACCGGTACCACGTCGTCACGCATAATGGCTGTGATTCACCAGCGAGAGACTCCCCGTGTACATCTACTGCTGGTTACCGGAGAGTGAGCGCATCACGGGGGGTCGCTGCGCTGACGTGACAGGGATGGGGAGGAGGAGGGGGGGGGGATAGCGATGAATCACGTAAACAACCTGCTCGTGTGACATAACAGGATGAGAACCGGATCCAGTGACTATAGCGAGTGACTACTACTGACTACTACTGCGGTGAGAGGTTATCTCTGGGTTCAGTGCGTGCGTCCGTCTGCCCGTGTGCTAAGATCTCAGATGCTCAACCTACGCCATGGTTACCACGGATCTAGCGCGGGGGCGGGTGGGGTGTGACTGGGGGGATTAGGGATGGGGAGAGGGAGATTAAGGATTGGATGGGTCCAACCGGACGGCCGGGGAGGGTGGGGGTCCTGTTGCTGTGTCTCAGCCTCCCGCTGCTGCATCCGCTTTGAACACAGGCGTCGTGAGCGCACACAAGCGCACGCACATATTGATTGATGCACGCGCACGACGCGTGAACGTGAGTGCGTGCGTACGACCACAGGCGCGCATACACATTCATGCTCGCACACTCGCGCGCACACACACACACGTCTGAAACGGTGCTCGCGCATGCGCAATATCTCCCAAGAAGAAAAATATTTTGCCAAAATTATAAATTTAAAATGAAGAGGGATTATCCCACCGCGTGCTGCATATACCAGTCAGTACAAAATCTGGCCACGATAGTGTGTTAGCCCATGCGCAATATCTCTCCAGAAAAGTTATATTTTGTTATGAATATGCATTTAATATGGTTAGAGGGTATCCCCACATAGATTTCTGTAATAAATTCGTATCGCCGGACCTGTGTTTATAAATAGGAGAGCGCCCTAGCCTGAAAAGTACAAAACGCCTACTTCGCCCCTCCCGTCTTTCCCAATTGCCTTCCTTGCCCATCGCTTGGACTCCTTTCTTCTTCTACCCCTCTCAGCTATCTTCCCGGCCCCCTTTCCTCAGTCTCCCACCCCTCGCTCCCTCAGCAAGCTATATTATGCAGTTTTTATTCAGTTCATATTGCACGCCTGAAACGGTGCGAGCATGCGCAATATCTCCCAAAAGGAATATTATTTTGCCAAGATTATGAATTTAATATGAAGAGGAGCTATTCTATCATAGATTTATATGATAAAATTCTATCAGTAGATCTCTCTTAAGAAATAGTAGGAAGATCTTGCATGTAAGGTGCGCGCTGCATATACCAGTCAGTACAGAATCTGGCCACGATAGTGTGTTAGCCCATGCGCAATATCTCTCCAGAGGAGTTGTATTTTGTTATGAATATGCATTTAATATGGTTAGGAGGTATCCCCACATAGATTTCTGTAATAAATTCTTATCGATAAACCTGTGTTTATAAATAGGAGAGTGCCTATGTTGTAGGGTGCAAAACGCCTACGCCTATTGCGGATTTCATGATTAAAGAGTCAATAATAGACGGGAATGAACCAAACATGAGAAAAATTATGAGTTTTTCTCTCAAATAATATTTATATACAAATGTTCTAGTACAACGAATTCATAACGCACATGTATGACAACATCATAAACATTTAGCTTTGGTGTATATCAATTCTATTATAACGTTTCTACATGTAAAACAAAACTACAATATTCCATGGTTAAAATTTTCATCTTAACTTAATTTTTCAATTATAACCCCACAGTGCGCTACAATGCTCCCCGCGGCGCTTCATTTTCATGATGTGACTGAAATGTTATTTAATGCATTTTTGTGACACCTCTCACTTAAAGAAATATATATTTGTAAGCGAATAATGTGCGCGTGCTCCCTATATATAGATTCATGGCTTCACACGTAAGATGTACGACAATTTACAGACAGATTATACAGAGAGTACAAAATCGCCAGTAATTAACATACAGGAACAACGCCAATAAACATTACTCTAACGCGCGATCGTTCAGGAAAAATGTCAGCGAACGTCACGCCCAGCCCAACATCTAGCCGACGACCTTCGGTGACCTTTCAGTGACCTTTTATTAACTCTCATTATCATTTCACTGACCTTTCAGTAACGTTTTATTAACCCTTCACTAACATTTCACTGATTTTTCAGTGACCTATCGGTGACCTTCAGGAGCGACGTCGCACGACGCCGATCCCGCGCCTTCGGCTCCTCGACGAAACTACTAGAACGCGAAGAAGTCGGTCAGTGACGAGAGGAACTTTCTGATCCCGCGCGCGCTCACCCGGCCGCTGCCGTCGCCGTCCCCGTCCGCTTGCATCGCCAGCTGGATCCACTCAACGAAATTCGACACCTTCGCGTAGACGCCGAATCTCCCGTCGAGTCCGCAGCCGCGTCCGAAGCTCGTGATGCCGTACACTCGCCAGCGCCCCTCGGCGGCACACAGCAGCGGCCCGCCGGAGTCTCCCGAGCATGAGTCGGCGTGTCCGTCCTTGTAGCCTGCGCAGAGCATGTTCGCGCTGACGTGGTAGCGGCGGTACTCCTTCTCGCAGTCGCGCCGCGCTACCAGAGGCACCTGTAACAATGTGATTCTTAATATTAACATGTTAATATTAACGTGGTATAATATTATCACGTGATTACGTATCGCGCTACAACCGTCGAGAAGAGAGCAGAATAAAGATGTGTTGCACTGTAATACGAGCCGTTCATATGTAATACCAAGAGCGTATTACTTGTCTACTTTGTACTACTTTTGTACTTTGTAATACTTTTGTACTTTGTACTACTTTGTAACTACTTGTCTACTTTGTACTATTTTTGCACTTTGTTCTAGTTTGTACTACTTGTCTACTTTGTACTACTTTGTGTGAGCGTACTAAGAGTGATACTTAGTGATACACAGAAGTGATAATACAGCACCTCTGCCTCGTGGAGGACGCTCGCCGCTTCGGGCCGCCGCTCGTGCTCCTTCCCCCAGCCGAGCACGACGCAGGGCGTCCCCGTGGGCAGAGTGAGGCGGCGCGCGGGCAGGCAGACGGGTGGCGAGCGGCGCGCGGGCGAGGCGAGCCGGAGGAGAGCGACGTCATTGTCAACGATTTCTTCGTCGTAGCGCGGGTGCGAGACGGCGGCGGCGACGCGGTGGTAGCGTTCGTTGCCCTCGCGCTCGTACAGGTCGTGCTCGCCCAGCACGGCGAACATGCGCTTCTTGACGCAGTGGGCCGCCGTGAGAACGTACGACGGAGCAATGAGCACGCCGCCGCAGTAGTGCTCCTTCCAGCGGTTAAGCAGCGCCACCTGCGGTCCGAAAAAGAAAGTGATCGATGGCTTTTTTATTGAAAGCACCTCCGGTTGGCTTAACGCTTGAATAAGACGATTGGATTTGATGGGTTGGTTTTTTAATTAAAGTTATTATTGACTATTAATGATTAATAGAATGATTAAGTGCATATTTTATGCATTCGTGATTGCGTCAATCGTAGAGCAATTAACAATTAATTATTTTATAATTTATCTTTTAAATTTAATTATGAAGTTTTAATTAATTATTGATTAACTAATTAACGAATTAATAATTTACCTGCCAGGGCCAGCGGCCAGCAACGGACTGCCTCCCACCATAGATCCTCGTGTTCACCCCTGTACTGTTTCTCATCAGCCCACACTCCAGCGGCTCATCGCTCTCTGTAAGATGCAAAATATTACATATAAAAATATATATGTGTATGTATATACGATAAAACTCCACGTACCATCCGAAGTACCATCCCTCCTGCGGATACTGCGACTCGTCGTCAAACTTCTCGAACACGTCGGCCAGGGTGCCGACGTCGACGTTAAACGGCAGGAACTGACACTCCTCGGCGACGCTGCGCAGCGCCCCTGGTGTCTGCGTGTACAGTCGCCGGAAGAACGTATAGTTGAACGTGTGCACGGCCGACCAGCCGACGGCAGCGCCCCGCACGACGACCGGACGTCCGCTGTACGCGTAGCTGCGCAGAAACTCGTCGCGCGTCACGTTGCCGACGACGGCGACGTCCGTCACTCCGTCGCAGATGCGACAGTCGGCGATGGGACGCGTGATCTCCTGCAAGAGGGCGCTGTTGTCGAGCAGACATTGCGAGTAGAAGAGCAGATTGTCGACGTGGCTCTCCAGCCGACTGAACTGGTCGTCGCAGTAGTAGCACAGCGTCGTCGCGCACAGCACGGGCACGAGCAGCAGCAACCAGAGCCCTCTAGCGGCATGCCGACGTCCCCGCGCAGGCTCGCACGCCTTACCGTAGTCGTCGTCGTTGTTGTTGTTGTAGAATCCCGTGAAGGTGGGGCCGGCGTCCGTGGGGGTGGGGCCGTCGCCCGTGAGGGTGGGGCCGGCGTCCGTGAGGGTGGGGCCGGCTTCCGTCAGGGTGGGGCCAGCGCCCGTGGGGGTGGGGCCGCTCCGTGGGGGTGTCGGGGCGGACGAGCACAGGGCTGCGATGTGCTCCGGCGGCAGTCCCGCACGCAGGCAGCTGTGTCGCAGTGCGGAGAAGTTGCGCGTCAGTTTGCGTAGTTTGTCCGTGTTGTCGTGCCGCGGGTGTGTCGGCCCGCAGCCAGCAGCAGCAGCAGCAGCAGCAGCCGCCGCCGTGTCCATGGTCTCACTGCACCGCCAGCGAGTGAGCGCGCCTGTTATAAACTACTACTACAATAGCTCTAACTGCTAGTGCTGCTTCTGCTGCTGCTACTACTGCTGCTGCTACTACTGCTACTGCTGCTGCTGCTGCTGCTGCTGCGGCTGCTGCTGCTGCTACTGCTGCTGCTGCTGCTGCTGCTGCTACTGATGCTGCTGCTGCTGCATTACAGACATTCCCGTAGAACAGAAAC